ATTCGGAATCGAAATATGGCCTTATTTGCAGCAAGAATTCGAAAAATAAGTTTATTTTGAATTTTAATAAACTAAACGTTCACCAAAAAACTTTAGTGAGAAAAAACGAAAAAACGAACTACAAACATACTAACGCCAAACATTCGGTAGAATTTATAGAATATTGTAAAAATTATGGTCTATTACCAACATATATATATATATATATATATATATATATATATCTAAGTACATATATGATATATATATCTAAGTGCACAGCAATTGATATATCTGCTGGATTATCATTGATTGGGACGACGTAGAGAGAGTACATGTACCTTGCATTGAGTAGAAAGGTAGGTTAATGATGAATGATCGCCTCCCATTTACAGCCTACCATCCATTTCATTTGCTAATTATTTCCATTTTGAACACTAGCATGGATGTTAACAGATTTTTTTTAGGTCCAGTATCAAAATTGTGTTTATTTTAATTTTAAAACTGTTATGTTTTTAACATATTAGTATTTAAATTATGCTGAGAAACTTTTATTTTTTTATTTTATCTTATTAATTTCAGAAAAATTTGTCCTTGTACGTTATTTGAATTAATAACTCGATAAAATTAGTTAACTGCTCAGACTGACCACGACCAAACGTCTCGATTTTCCCGTTTTTTAGATTATATATTTTATGAAATCCATTATTCGCCTTTTACTTTCTCCCTCCTACTGAACTCTGAAAAATCGAACTACACTTTAAATTAAACCTACATAGAGTCTCTATAATGCAATCCTAATAACTCAAATCAAATCCTTCAACAGTTTATGTGTTTTGTTCAACGGCATGCATTATAACATTTATTAGATTTTGAAGGTCTTCAACATCGCTCTATAACAGCGATTCCCACTGGGCAGGCGATTCCATCCTCGAGAGTAGCTGTGGGACTTCACAGTGAAAATGGAAATAATTGGTGAAATATTAAAAGGAAAATACGGTAACAATCTTGAAATATAAGGAACAGTGTTAACTACTCACAAAAAGCAGTTGACTACTATAGTTAACTTCTTAGTTTAACAAATAATTAATAACTGTTTCTTAACTATTTTTTGCAGTAGTTATTAACTACCCTTCAACTACTGCCTAGTAGTTAACTACTGTTTAATTACTTTTAAACATTTTAACTCACCAAACTCATTTGCAAAATTTTTTTTATGTAAGTAAACAGTTATTCACAGTTTTATTCAAAAATAAAATAATTTGGTATCTATAATATGCTTTTAAGTCTTTCTCTGAAAAAATCAATTTGTCAACATGGTTGTTAGACTGCTGTCGAGCTAGGCAATGTTGAGTTCAATTTTATGAATGCTGCATACACGGCTGGATACAAAAGCAATATAGAATGAATAAATAAACAAATAAAGTTAAACACAAATAAAAATTAATAAGAAATAAACAACAAACAAATAAATGAAAACATTAATCTTAATTTTGGATGGTTTAATTGTTCCCTCTACCTTCGGAGCGATGCAATGTAAGCTTGTTTTTATCAGTTACGTCCCAAATCTGGAAGAAAATGATTTTAAAATGTAAAACAAACTAAGCACAAGCTACCAGGTGAAAGTTGATATTTCTTCAATAACAATCAAATTTTAAGTGGAGAAGTGTAAGTGATGGGTTGTAATGAGGAGTAGGACTTGGACGAAATGATTATCAGGATGTAGTTAGGGTCGCAGGTTGAAATTCTTTATAGATAATAAAATTTGAAAAGTAAATTTCAATTACTAAAAATTAAATAGACAAACATGATATGATGACGATGACGTGATGATGTCGTTTTTGAAGATGATGGTGATAATGATGCTACTGCTGATGATGGTGAATGAATGCAGTTTTGTGAATGCTGCACATGCACACACGGTTGGATACAAAAACAAACTTTCAATATTTTTAGACGGATTCATCATCATCAGGTGGACTTTTTAGGCGCGACAATACTTTTCCACAACTTTCTATCAAGCTTGGTCAGTTCTTCATGTAGCTGCTCTTTCATCAGACTTATGTGTTCAAGATATTTAGACGGATTAGTCAAGTAATTATTACGAATTTTTAAAAACCGGGGCATTCTACTGTTGCTACTGGCATCAATTTTCAATTATCATTTGTTTGACTGCTTTGGCAAATTTTTTGTGAAATAGATTTGAATGCAGATAATGACTTATTTATACTATTTTATTTCAATTTTTGTCAGAGCAGTCTCTACTACCTTTCTTTCATTGCTTTTAAACATATATATATATGTCTTGTAAACTATTACTTCAACATTTTTATACAACATATTTATATGTACGTAAATGTATTTAAACTGTTACTACAAGTACAACTACTGTAAGATTTGTTTCCACAATTTCAAATTTACTTAAGAAATTTGCTGCACTGCACACATAATCTCTACATTAAACACCGTCAGTGATGGGTAGTTACTAACTACAAATAGTTAACTAGTAGTTAATAACTACTAGCCAGTAGTTAAAAATTAGTTAATAACTATTCTATTTTGGGTAGTTATTAACTAATAGTGAACTATTTTAAACTGTTAGTAATTGTTATAGTTAACTACTTTTTGACTACTTATACATATTTTTCTTCAGAATTAATGTGAACCTTTTTAATTGCACATTCCTATTTTTAAATTTGTTTTCGCGTCAACGGCATTTCTTTTTAAACTTTTTTTGTGTACGAGGTGCAGATAATTTGCGTTTGATTAATTATTTAATATGAATACTCAAATTATTAAATTGTGCTTTATTGACGCCGTTTTAAAGAAAGACGACGATAAAAAATTTACTGCAAATTTTGCAAAAGCATTTTCTCTGGTAGCATTTAAAATACTACAGAAGATGACAGTGACATGAAAACAAAAGAATACTATTGAGGAAAATTATTGCATATATGGAAAATATACACAGAAAAATTGAACAATCAAGTAATAGTTTTTTTAATTGCAATTGATAAATACATGTTCAAATTAACTTTTGTTTATTAATGATTTGAAGTCACACATTGTTTGAAAATATTTTTGGTAGATTTATTTACTTATTTATTTATATTACACGCAAATTGCAAACCAGTGAATTCTGTACCTTCGTCTTCTAAAGAAAACGAACCTTAGCAAATAAATAGAGGCAATTTGTATGATTACCTGGAAAATAATCAAAATTTTTCGGATCATGTGTTGGCTGATGAACTCAACAGTTACTTGGCTAACCCATCTAAGAATATTGAAAGTTTATTTCCCTATCCATCAGTATGTGCAAGTTTCATTAAACTAAATTCAACATTACTTAGCTCTGCAGGGGTTGTGCGTCTTTTCAGTGTTGCTGGACAAATTCTAACTGATAAACGCTGTAGATTGTCTGATGATCATACCAATAAAATTATTTTAAAGTATTTTCAGAGATATTTCCAGAAACGTGAGGACATTGCCGCAAAGTTTCTATTGTTGTTTTAATTTGATACCATTTCCGTAAAACACAAATTAATTTTTTAATATTGATATTAGAATCTTAAATTTTGTTTGAAATCAATCCAAAACCAGACAAACCAATTTTTAAAAGGCAAAAAAAAGTTAAACAGGAAACAGAAGTGAAAAAATCTAAAACAAATATAAAAAAGTAGGGATGTACTTTTTAGAATTTAAAACACAATTAATAATTTATTCTGTAAAAAATTATTCTAGTAATTTAATAAAGTAGTAACTATTTTTAAGATAGTTAACTAGCAGTTATAAACTATTCGGAAAAGAATAGTCACAGACTACAGCTTAACCACTATAGTTAACTATTTATAGTTATAAACTACCTGTATCTGATCGTTAAAATAACGATCAGTTTTAATAAAACAAACTGGAAGCACAAACGTTTTTCCAGCTCGGTTGTGGGGCGCGGCGCAAAAGCTTTGGGAAAGAAACCATGCTCTGTCTATTACATATTCATCTGTACGTAAAAATATTATTGGTAGGCAATTAGACGCTATTAATATTGGTGCCACATACTACTAGATACGTTTATTCATTTATTTATCATCTATCTATCCATCCATCTATCAAACCAACCATCTATCTTCCTGTCTGTCTATCTGCATTTCGCCTATCCATCTATTTGTCTATCCATCTGTCCCCTACCTATCCATCCACTCACCCACCTTAATCGAAAAAAGTGAATCGCCGTGGCTACGACTTTGGTGAAACAGCTTGGGAAGCCCAGTAAAATAAAGTGTGAGAGTCTGAACGGTTTTTGTTTTAGATTAAAATAGCGGTAAAAAATGAGGACGACATCTTATATTTTAATTGCTATACAAAATTACATCTAACTTCGTTATATTCAAAATATTTTTTCAGAACAACGCCTGAAATGAAAATTAACAAAATTTACATAAGTGACTCAAGTCAGTAAGCTTTCATTTTTCATTTAAACTGAATGCATTTGACATCATTTTCAACAAAATTTGAAAGTTGAGAAATAGAATGAAAACAAGTTAGCCATAACACGTAGAGGATTAGTTGCTGGTTTTATACATCTATCTAAAATAACTCAAAACATGAACACATCACGTGTACATGATTTTTAATTTTATCACATGACATAAACAAACGTTACATAATAAAATATTATTCAAACAACTTTACTTGGATAAATTATTAAAGTTATCTCATAATGAAAATATAATACAAATAATCAATAATAGTATTCAACGTGACGCATTTAATGTCATTTAGAGAATTTTCAACCCACCATCAAAAACTGTTGAACGAAGTACCTACACAGACATTTTTATTAAGATGAACGATCTAACTAACAACATGCATAAAAATGTACTATTATGTCCATACAAAAAATGATTTTATTGAATCAGGTTGAGTGCTGCGTGCCGCCCATCTTTCCTTCTTGTTGCCGCTACAACCGACGCACGAAGAACGACAACTGAGTGTTCGCAACTGCCATTATGTGGCTCAAGATTAGCCACATGTAACGTCATGCTAACAAGAAAATCTTTTGCAAAACAGATGCAAATAAATTGGCCAGCAAGCTACATTCTTTTTTTAATTCCAGCAATCACGGAACTTCTTCATTTTCTGAAGAGATTGCACCGCCAGCAATTTCTTCGCCTCCCAAGAAACTTGTCCGAACATCGGGTCCACTTGAATTAAAACCACTGCTTGCTCCATTCAAACCGCTTCCAGTGGCAACAACTGCAACCCGCCCTTCAGCGCTCGTAGAAGATTCCTCTGGAGTAACTTTCATTACATCGATTGCTCCTTGCTCCCTGTCAACCGATTCTTCCAAACATTTTGTGCGTTCGCCGATTTGGGGATTGTGGTGCTTGTTATGTCGATTGTGGTGGAAATTATGCAAAGAAAAACGCCTGTGTCCTTGCTTTTTAGATGTGGACTGTTTCTTGCTGGTCAGCTGGGCAACGTCTTTTCTTGATGGTTTGGTTTTATTATAAGCTTCCAACTGCTTATAAATTCGCTTAAATTCATTCTGTAAAAATGATTAAAATAAAAACAGTAATTCAAAAAAAGTTTTCACATGTTATTTTGTCAATAATCAATTTTTTAAAAACTAAAACACTAAATTTTCATTATATTTTAATGTTTTTTCAGCTAACACACCTTGACTTCCTCGTGATTGAGACCAGACATTAAAAAATCACCTGACTCTTGAGACTTCTTTGAAGTTGAAACATTGGATGGTTGGTTCTTTAAAGTTTCGTGGCATGCCAGAGAGAACGGTTTGTTGTTGTTGGACGTGGAGTGACCAGATGCGGTGCCCGATGAAGAAACTCCACCATCTTTCCTTCTTGTTGCCGCTAAGATGGCAGACATTTTTGCCTGCCACAACTTTTAAAGTACACAAATAATTAAAATAAAAATAATAATATAATCAAATAATATTTGAAAATTTTCATAACTTTATTAAATTCATATGAATCTAAATTGTATTATATTGTAAGATTGTCAACAATGCAATTATTAATGAAAATCACAGCTTGTTCCGCGTTAGTTAGCTTCTTGTATAATTTTTCGATTATTATAACGGTAGATCGTAAATCATTGTCAAGTTTTTATTTATTTTAAGCATGATAGATCATGCTTTTGAACAGGAGGAAAAAATCATGAAAAATCATAAAAAATAAACTTCAAGCAACAAACGACTAAACTACGAATATACTACTCCAACCAAAGAACGTCATCTCTTGTCATAAAAAACAACTGCATTAGTATGCCAGAATCGTTAATGGATCATAGCCATTTATATTTATTCAAATGTAATATTGGTGAGTGTGGGCACCGTAGTTCTGAATATATTGATATGACGACAACCAAGCTATCGAGAAGACTCACGATAAAGAATCACATGAAAAAAAACTAAAATTACTAGACAAATCTTGGGCAACAATGTTGAAATCTTACATTACAATACCAAGCATTAAAATTTACGATTAATAATTTCATCCACATACACTGTGTATCCGAAAAAACCGAAAAAAACTGTTTTGTTCTACCATGTTTAAAATAAATAAAAATTTTGGTTTTGAACTCAAGAAACTTGGCCACGATCTACGATTTACTATTAGAAAAATCGAAAAATTAAAAAGAAAGCTAACTAACGCGGAACACGCGGAACATGCTGTGATTTTTATCAATAAATGATGACATTAATTAATATATACTGCCAACACAATAAAATTACAATAAATTGTTAAAAACATTTTAAAAAAACAATTTAACCTTTGACACGAGTATAAGTGCGAGGTTGACCGTAATTGTCAAATGACATCTGCAAAATGACAAAACAAAACTGTTCTGCTTTGTGAGCAGGTGATACAAAACAAATCTGTAAAGAATATGAAATCATGGTTATCATTTATCATGTTATCTAAGCATTTGCACAGCGTCCTTTACAAAATGTCAACGAAAAAAATTAAAAACTTAGCGAAAAACAATTGACCCACTTGACGACATAAAGAAGAGCTGAAAAAACCGATTCATTGATGACAGCTGTTGTGATAACGCGGGACTCAACAGTGAATGACGGCGGGGAACTGGATGAACAGCACATGTACAGGACGCAGAAAAGAAAGATCAACTCTTCTGTGAAAGTTCAACAAGTTTTTGCTCACAAATTAATTTTATTTCTTAACTAAACTTATTTTTCATGATTTTTAACTTTCAAAACATTATCAAAAATCATTTTGGTCTATTCTTTACTTTACATGAAAAATCATGTTACATTTTTATGAAATTTTTTGACCACATCAACAACATATCAACGATTGGAATCACAGATATATTTTCAATACGTCAACAACATATTTCAACCAATTGATGGCCTGACGTTTTTTGACGTTGTTGTTGTTGCCGAATGTTTTCTCACTGATTCTGTGAGAAGTTTAGGTTTTGATCAATTCAGGACATTTAGACTCAACGCAAAGTCTGTATGAGGAGGAAGACGATTAGTTGTTGTCAGGTCTGACGTCGTATGAGGAGTGGCATTGAGGAGTTTCTTTAACTGTTTAGTAATGTCTAATGCTTTACAATTTTCATGCTGTTTACGTGGTAGAACGTTTCACCGTAAAAATACTGCCTGCTCTTATGTACCGAGAATTACTTGTGACGTGATGTCATAGTTTACCTTTAACCAAATGTTGAAAGGTTTAAATGATTCGTCTATTTGCAGTGGCCTTTCACTTCACTGTGACATTGTTTTTTTTTTTTGTGTGGGAACTAATAAATAAAGATGATACCCCGGTTGATGATCAATTCAAAATATTTAGAATCGACATGATCAAATATTCACACCATTTTATTATTAAGTAGCTTTTTTAACCAATACTTAACACAATAGAGTTTGTGAAATTTATATTTTGGTAAACGTCCCATAAATTTCAAAATTGGCTTACTGCTGTTTTTGCAATGTTAATACCATTAATAAATATACGATATGCATCATTAACTTCAATTTAACATTCCTAATTTTTACGTTTCTAATTTTTCTATTTTTTTTTATTTTTTTTTAACATTCCCGCATAATATGTTAGTTAAAAATGCGATTAATTTTGAAATTTCAATTTTACCATTACGTAATTGATATACGTACAATAACAGTAATACAATTACGTACAGATACAAATACGTCAAGAATAATTTCCGACAAATCAACTTTCAAATTCATCAAAATGATACAAGTTCGCAAAAAATGCGTCAATTAAAGGATGTACAGCCACAGTTTGGAATCCATATCTAATGGAGGACATAAAAAAAGAACTAATTCAGAGAAGAACGACCAGAATGTACGAACTACATAGAAATCGTAGCTTATTATACAGATTAAATTTAATTTGTTTACCAGCTTTAGAAAAAAGAAGAATCAGAGGTGACCTTATTAAAATGTAAAAAATAGTAAGCGGCACAGATAAATATGAACTGACTTAATGAACCGATATTTAAGTTTGATCCAAGAACAATAGAACATAATAAACGATTTAGAATAGAAATAGTGATAAAAGAAAACTGTTCAAAACGTTTTCACAAGTCGTGTAGTCAATAATTGAAATAAATTACCTAAATAAAGCTATTAATGCCAAAAATGGGAATACGTTCAAAAACGATAATATAGTTATTTGATAAATAATTTTAAGTTGTTAAAATCATGTTAAGTCAAATTATTTTAAAGTCATGGAAGGTCATGTCAGTCAACAAATGGGAGTTTGTTGTTGACAATTGTATTGTAAATTTTAATTGGTTATTTTATTCTATCTGAATAATTGTGTTGGGAGTGTCAAAAGCTAGAAAAAAACTTAACCTAAACTTGCCACAGGATCAGTGAGAAAACATTCGGCAACAACAACAACGTCAAATAACGTCAGGCCATCAATTGGTTGCATGAAAAAAAAACCGTGCAACAGAATTTTCCTATCGCGGTATAAACTCAGGGCGTTTTTAAAAACTCAATTTTTAAAACATTGTCGTTATTACCAAAACACTGTTATTAACAAAGAAGGGCATGAAACATACTCACCAACTTGAACAACAAAGTGCCACCATCCAACTCCGCAAACGTTGCCGCTCCATTCAGTTTCGTTCACTTCTCGACCAATTTGCATGGCCGTCCACGCAGCCATCTGACAAGCTGCTAGGAACAAGATGACCGCCAAGTAGCGAAGTAAGTCTTTATCTCGAAGGAGGACCCGCTGTGCTTGCCGGGACTGAGACTCTACCCTCACTCTTAATAACATTATTTATTTATCTATTTAATTATTAGGAAAAAAATGGTTTTGCTATCTGACAATTTATCAATATTTATTCGCTTTCAAATCTCTTTTTAAGCCTGTGATAGAAAATTAATTTATTGGATTGTGACATCTAATCAACTACCAAATATTAATTACCACATTTATTATAAGAGTAATAATCAGAGTTTACATCAACTAAATTATTGCAAGCAATTGCTGTTGTTTACATAGCAAGTCTATTCAATCCAGAAAAAACAACGCATCCACAATTATGATTGTAGTTATTAACACATGACATTATCTCAATCAATTATCTTAATGTTTTTACATTGCACGTTTTCGTTCACTATAAAAAAAAGAATGCACTCATTAGAGCAGAAAATAGTACTAATAAATACCTATGAACTTTTAGCATGATTGAGGCGTACAAAGTGATAAAGCCGATTTCTCGGAACCATGGTATTAACACACATGTGATTTTTGTGGCTTCCAGGTATTCAAGTGCCACCTGTGTTTGCAAGAAATTTCATTGAAAAAGATTTTTTTTAATTACTGAAAAAATTAAAAATATTTATTGTTTAATAAAAAGTTAAAATATTTATTGAATAAAAAATTAAAAATTTTTAAATTATGAACTAATTTTCTCTGAACTAAATGAAAAAATCAAAAATATTTATTTAATAAAAAGTTAAAATTAAAAAAGTATGAACTGATTTGGAGTTTAAATGAATAGAATTGTTAAGTGAAAGGGTTAACTTATGGACAATATCCACAGATTCGTAATTATTGTGTAATATAAAACATTACGACACACGATGAAGAACAACTACGCAAAATTAACGTAATGGATAAATTGATATACACTGAAGTACAAAATAAATTTTTAAGATAAAATTATTTAAAAGAAACTGAACAGCTATCAAGCAAAAAATAACTAACGGATAAATAGACTAATAAACCGCCGCCAACCACCACTTCATAAAGCTGCCAGAAACTGAAATGTATCGTCTGCAAAAGAAAATTTAAACAAAGTGTTTTTTCATAAAAATAACATTTTGAAAAATAAAACTGGAGTTTTGCACGACAGTTTCTTTATGTTTGACTAACTCGAAACCGAATGAAATCGATCAATATTTATTTTGGATCCGGATAGATACTTATTGATTTTTTATAACCATCGCATAAAACGTACTGGAGCTGACGTAAATCTTTTATACATTTTTACACTTATTATGATATCATGGTTACTTTGCATAGTTATAAACATGATGGGCAAAAGCTAACCACAGAAGTTACGAATTTTAGATTAGTTGATAAAATTTGATTAAGGCAACGATTTAAATAAACTGACAACTTTTAACTAAACAAAAAAGTTTGAATAAGAAAGTATTTTAATTAAAAAAATTTAATTACAAACTAAAGGGTTAAATACAAATTTTGTAAATTTTTCAACCCGTGTTTGTAACTTCAACTGAATTGCCCATCTCTGTTTTCTAATCAGGTGATAGACTTGAGTTGGATCGTAAGCGCCAAACTGTTTGGCAGTTATCGGGATTAAAATAATTGAGTCGGATCTCCGTACAACGAATTTGACGGTCCCAGGAACTAAATTCGCTAAATAGAAATTTTGTTATATTGCATAAAAAGTGTTTTTTCCTATATATTTGGAAAAAAACAACCTTTTAATCATTTATTCTTTATAACCAAAAGTAATAATACATAGCATAGCTGCAAAAAATAAGAAAAATAGCATAATATTATATGTATGTATTTGCATTATGTGTATATAGAAAAAAGCTTACTACGAAAAAGAGTAATGCAAAAATTGCTAGAATACTAGAACAAAAAACACTAAATTTAGCTCTAGGAAATTAAAGGAGTACAAAATCACCGCTCATATCACTTCATGGAATGTTTGTTGGTTTTTATAAAAATTTTTCGTTATAAAAAATTTTTTTTCGCTCTATAGAAACAGTTTTATATGTAAAATTCCAAGGGACCTAAAAAATTCGCTATAGAGAGATTTATTTTCGTTGTATAGAAGTTCGTTATTTTGAGGTCTGACGTAGTTTATTTCACATTATTTAAAAAAAACTTAATGACCTATTTAATAAATTGATTACGTTGTTACGTTATGGGCGGTTCAGAGCATTAAAAATGAAGCGGCGTATTTACTTTGATCCTCCTCATTTTGATGATGAGAGCAGCGGGAAGCAGGACAGCGAACATGACGAAAACATGAATACTGAGTAGAGTTACAACAACATAATCAGAGATGTGGGGCAATCTTATTTTTGTGCAGTTCATCGACTCCAGACAGAGCTCATGACAGAAATAAGCAGAACATTTAAAGCATGAGATATCGGTAATTTGTTGTGTTGTCTCTGTTAAGGTTGTTGTTTCCGTTGTTGTTGCTGGGATGTTGCTCTTCACATCTTTACCCCAACTTGCGACAATACGCAAAGGTGGAGCGGTGGATGGCAGTAGGCTGGCATATCCTGACTTGCACGAGCACTTGTATCCGCCGTCTCGTAAGCCATAATGTTTTATTGGTGTACACTGGATGTGTTCATTTATTAATTTATGAAAATTTGAATCACTTTCTGTAAGTAGGCGAGAATAAAAAAAACTGCATTCAAATAAACTAACAATCAAACCACAACAACAGATAAAGTGAATATGAATATTTTAAGAAAAATATTTTAATCAGCAAAAAATAAATTATTTATTTATTATCAACTGTTGACGACCAACAGCATCTAACAGAGGCTGGTGCGGTGTGAACGCTATTGAAATAAAAGCATTGAATCAGTTAGGGAGAAGAAAAGATCTTAAACAACTCAAATACCAAACGTAAAATCAGATCAAAAAATGAATCTATCTTGTTAATCTCTTGTAACCTAGACACAGACAAATTCATTGCTCTAATTTAATAAACAAACTAAAATTACATCGATAAGCTATGACCACTTTACTGCAATTTACTAACCATTAACTGTGCAAGAAATGCATGTTACAGCAAAATTTTAAATTACTAAATATGTGAAAACGCAATGGTGAAAGTATTTTCGCCAATTTTCATTTAATGAATAATAACAGATTTCAAATAAATAAAACATTGGGAGAAACAATCAAACATTAAACCAATGTTGGTAGCATATAAATACGCTGGTAAAATAAGATAGACTTGCTTTTGTTTTTACAAGACTACTGAATTATATAATAATATCAATATATGGTATATAGCTTTAACATTTAGTTAAAGCTATATACTATAACTTTCATAATTTTTTTTCTGTAAAAAATTGTTAATTGGCTGGTAAAGTTAGCTTAAACGATAAAAGACGTTGTTAGTGAGTGATGTGATGGTTCGAATAATATTTGTCCGATCCCCAATATTTTGCGTGTATGATGTGGCGTCTGTGTCCCGTGTGTGGCAGGAAGGTTTAGTTGTAGTCAAGTGAATGTGGAACAACATATAAGCAGCTTCGTTCTGAAATGTCATTAACACCCAACAATATTTCTCAAGAAATATTTTGTTATGAATTGAAACTAACCACTGAATAAGAAGGACAGACATGTGTTCCACGAAAAAATCGATTGATTCCTTCATCTTCAGTCTCGTCAGCGCCACGCCGACTGCACTGGTTGATGTCCATGGAAGCCAAGTTCATGCTCATCTCAACAAACCCTCTTATATTAACAAAATTTGAAAAATAAACATGGAGCGAATATCATAAAAAGAAAGATATGAATAAGTTTCAAAATGAAACTTCAAAAATATAAGTAGCCCTAAAATGACAAAAATTAGTTTATAAAAAAAATTTCAAGCAAAATGTATTAAAATATTTTAGTTAAATTTTTGTTTCAACTTTATTCTGAAACATGTTAAATAATATTTAGATGCAAATATATTTGTACACAGATACGGAAAAGTCTTCATGAATTGTTATTTATAAAAGTGAAAATTGTTTTAAGTTTTATAGAAAAAGTTTTGAAATCACGCTTTTTATTGGTCAAAACTGTTAAAAGTAGCTAATCCAGTTTAAGACATTAAGTTACCCAATGATTCATTCAAAAAGAAACGAGATTAAAAAACTACTTCTTTGTATTTCAGTTTTAAAATGCATTGTCAATTAACAAAATTCCATGTTTTGATATTTTTGCTTTACTCAAAGTTCAACAACTCACAATTTTTTTCAAGTTAAAAAGATTAAAATTTGTCTAGAAACAATTTCTTTTGCTAACCAAATGATTTTTCAACTCAGCGGCTTCATTTGAATCGTAGCTCTCTAAAACGCAAACTGTTACCAATTCTTAAAGAATTTTATATTTATATAAAAACAGCATATTGTTATTTACAAGCCTATCAGTTTATAATGATATTCAAGCAATTTAAGTTAGCTGCAACAACGCTCGTGCGATTTCTAAACATTTGCAAGTGCTGCAAAAGACCCAGGTCAGGGTCAGAGAAAAATATGATATTTTATAAATTTTACTTTCATCTTAATTTGCCACTATCTTCAAAATAAAATTTCAAGTCAAATTTTTTGACTGTTTATAGTCAGTTTGTAAGCCAATAAAAACATAAAAAAGGTTTTTATTTAAAAATTTTAACTTATTTGTACTACAGGTTACTAACTTTTAAAAAATTCGTCAAAAATAAAAATGTTGAGACTCTCAAAGCAGGCCTTTCTATATTTCAAATGACTTTCAGCAACACTAGGTTTCATAAATTGGAAATAAATGATCATTTTAAGCAGTTGTTTTTAATATTTTAATCCTTAACAAAAATTTGTTTTTAGTTTGTGGGAACATTTTAAAGAAAACATCGTGTTTGTAAGGGTTTTTAGAGTATAAATCTTCTCCAAAACGAGAACTAACAAATTTTTTTTGTTCAACACTTTTTGCCAAATCTTCAGGTTGCTTGTTTTTTCGAACAGTTGGATAAGTGAAAACTATTTTCTGTTGTTCACAATTATTTGCTTAAATTTCGTGTAATATTTAATTTAAATTGAAAAAAATGTAAAACCTTCATTAAAACGATTGCTAACATTTTTCAGGATGCAGAACAACATATGTTACAGTTTAAGAAACTTTGTTGACGTAACAAACTGCTTGCATTTAAATTTTATATTAATAGATTCAAAAACCAGTTAACATCTTTTATGAGGGAAATTTGTTAAACGTTGTATTTTTACAGAAATGTGATTGTTTATTAAGGGATTTTAAAAATACGCTTGGCCACTTTTAATAATTTTATTTTGACATTTTTTAAAACACAGAAATGATTTATTTCAATCATATTTGATGACTTGTAAATGACTCGGAAATATTTTTATATCCAGCGTTGGTTTACAATATGAAAAATACCTTTAAATAAATTTTAGATATTACTCACCAGTGATTGTGTTGAATATTTTACTGACGTAACCAATTTATTTATCTTTTCCAACTATTGAATCTCAATACAAATAATTCAAAATGAACCAAAACAAATACTTTGGCACAACGGCTTGTGACTCCCGGATGCACTGGTACAAGAGAGAGTAGACAGCAAGAAACCAGGAGTGTGGCTCGGAACAGTCGCTAAACGGTTGCACCCATAAAACTTTCGAGAAAAAAAATGAATTCGTTAGAGTGGTGTTGTCATCAGTAGAAAATAAGCAGTTATTTTCATATATCCATTTTGATTGTCCGTAACTGTCGTTTAGGTTTGGGCTGTCAATTCTTATTTCATTTTGATCTTTTGTTTCTTTTTTTTCCTGGTTTCCAAATTTTTCACGCAATTTTTGCGTTGCATAATTTAACCAAAAGTCATCCAACTTTTTTGTGACACCTGGATATTTTTAAAATTAATTTTCAATTAGAAGCGTTTTTATTAGAGATGGGAATTAAGCCTTATTTTTACAGTTTGAATTTGGTTAGACATAAAGTTCGGGTTCAGGTTCGGTTCATCTTTACGATGTTACACGATAGCAAAATTGGGTTTAAAATATTAATGTAACTGTTTATTTGCTAACAAAACAAAAATTTGAACTTCTAAACTGCTAACAATAGGCAAGCCTTATATACTAAAATTTAAATAAAATTTACTTAGTGTCATATTTGAAGACACAAAGCTCACTTTTGATAAGCGTATGTAAGATATTATTAAATCATGCAACTACCACCTTAGAACCATAAAATATATGAGATATCTGATCACAACCGATGTTGCTGCTGCTCTTAGCAGATGCCTGGTCCTATCAACAGTGGACTGTTGTAACTCATTTTATATAAAGCCTCCGGCACTTCTGTCAAAAAATTACAAATCAATCAGAATAAAACCGCCAGACTGATTTTCAGCAAACCTCACCGCTCAGGCTCTTCCATCCTCCTTTAAACGCTTTACTGGCTCATAAAATAAATGTACCCCAAATGTTTATATTATTATATGTAGTTACTAGTTATAAAACTGACATTCCTAATATATTGAAAACTGTAAAGTTAATGATTAATGATTTTAAGAATGGGGTTTGGTTTGATCATAAGCAAGGTTCGAGTTCGGTTTGTACGTTTCGGCTCATTTCACATCTCTAGATTTTTTATGACAATTTATTAGGTAAAGCATATAATAATATTGAATGAATATATAATAAAGATAATATAATGAATAAAACTATATAAATACAAATAGGTAAGCCTGTGAAATTTTACAATCTCCATTATTAAATAAATTTATGTTAAATTTGAATTATTGCTTCATATTTTCAATTAATCTTTACCTCAAATTAATCCCATTTTTATACATTTTTGTTGGCGTACACACACAAACATTACTAAAAATATATATTTAATTCAAGTTTACTTAAAAAATCTTTTAATCGATGAAACACATCATTTTTTTATAGTTTTCATTTGTTCAATCCAATTAATAGAAAATATAAAAAAAATTATTCATCGTATCTAAACACATTTTGAACAGAAACCAATTAAACATAAATGATGAAAAACTTGAAAACAAACAAGCAAACAGCAACAAATCAACAGAAACCTTGAAAACTCTGAACAAAAATCATAAAGCATTCATTTTAAACAAAGAATTAACATTGAAGAGACAGAGTTTATATATATTTGAGCATCTGGCCACATTGCACAAAGTATCAATTCGAACGTAGAAGATGGTATAAGCATACCGAAAAAAGCTTTTTGTTCTAACATGCTTGAATGTTTATATATATATATATATATATACATATATATATATATATATATACAGTAAAAGTCCTCTAGAGCGGGACCCTAAAGAACGGACAGATAAGAGTAACGGACAGTATTGCTTGGCACGGAACCGTTTTGCATGTTAAATAGACCCTAAAGAACGGACATTTTAAAGGAACGAACTACGGACAGGGTTTTAAGTACAAATTGACTTTTATATCTTAAAGAGCGGACAATTTATAACAAAAACACATGGAATATTTGATAAAATGCGCCATCTAATTTGAATATTTGTACTTATTCTATTCTATGGAATGCGCTAAAGAAACTTTGATAATCTTTGGTTATTTAAAAAAAATTATTTTCGCTCTTTGATTTTTTATCGCGGTCGTGTTGATAAACTGTTGTGTAATAATGGAGTCGACTTTGCGAAAAAAATTTTTAAACTTGGAAGAAAAAATGCTGGTGGTGAAAAATTAAATGATGGAGTTAGCATACGAAAAATTGCTGAAGAATTTGGTTGCGGAAAAACTCAAATTGCAAATATTCGTGAAAATAAAGAATCATGAACAATTTGAAGTCCAAGATGATGAAAAGGAAGAAGAGGCTCCAGTCCAAGAAGTTTCTACAAAGATGGCATTACAATGTGCCAGGAAGCTAACTTCCTATTCGATACAATAGAGAATTGTTACAATTTTCTGAGAACATTGAAAATATTTTAGAAATTGAATTGTTAAAAACAAAATGTTTTGGCAAACAGACAACTATGAATGATTTTCTTCCATAACAATATTAAAAACGTGTTGTTTTATTTTAATTTTTTATGTAGTATATCAAAAAAGATTTTGATGTTGAGTCTTGAGGAGAGGACAATTAAGAGGAGAGGACAGTTTGGTCATTCCCCAATGGTATCCTCTCTAGAGGACTTTTACTGTATATATTTTTACAATATTCTATATATTCTACCGAATGTTTGGCGTTAATATGTTTGTTGTTCGTTTTTCAATTTTTCTCACAAGTTTTTTGGTGAACGTTTAGTTTATTAAAATTCAAAATAAACTTATTTTCCGAATTCATGCTGCAAATAAGGCCATATTTCGATTCCGAATGAATCATCATCAATGCTTTCTGCTGTTTATATAGGGAAATATCGACTTTGTCAAAATGAACTTAGATGGAGAATGACTTTGTCAAAGTGAACTTAGATGGAAATTAGGTGTCAGGTTTCTTTATTGGCTTGTCATCTTCTTTGGTCTCCTTTTCTTCATCTATATATATATATATATATATATATATATATATATATAAGCTTCTTGAGTTCAAAGTCAAAATTGTTATTTATTTTCAGCATGATAGAACATAAAAGCTTTTTTCGATGTTCGAATTATATATATATATAGGCCAGATGTAGGCTTCGTCTCTCAAGAGACTTGTCAGTAGCCTGCCGAATATGGTTTAAGTTAACACAACTCCATGA